CACTGAGAGAGCAGAGCCTCCAAGTACTCAGCACAAGAAAAAACACATTTTCCCTTCTTGTTCTTTTGTTTTCTTTTCTTCTCTCTTTTTTTGTATCTGTATGAGGTGATGGATGATAACAAAACTTATGTGTAACCATTACTCAAGATATGAGGACATAATTTTATTAATTATAATTGTTCCCATATTACTTGCTCAGTAAACACATACCACACACATGTACACACACACACGTTTTAGAAAAACCCACACATAAGAAGTCGTACAAAATGGGTTCTGAGTGCACATGATGTAGCATATGATTTCCTCTAAAATGTGTCCAGGTACCTTCCACATATTAATGAACAGTCTGCAATATTCTCAGGGCAGACAGTGCTTCCTCCTGATATTGCTACTACATGTACTTTATAGATGACCTTTTACTAGAATTTGTTTTGTTTTTTACACACAGCATGAAAGCTGATCACTATTCATGCGAGGAGGGACACTCACTCTGTGGCATTTTCTTGTCTATTGACGAACTCAGCATGACGTTTTACTTAAAGTTGTCAAGCGCTCATCTGCTCCTTCCTAGAAGAACTTTGAAACTCGCACCCTCTCGGACCATCACAATCACAGATGGTGCTTGTTGAACATCAGGCCCCAGGGAGTCAGGTGGTCCCCGTGGGCGGTCTCTGGATTCCAGCACGCTCCCCATACAGTCTCACCGGAGTGAAGCTTGACAGCCGCATCCAGGAGGAAATCTGGGAGGAGTTTTGTGATGCACATCCGGGCGCTCCCTGTCACATGTCCCCACAGGGGTGCGGGGACTGCTCCCTGCAGGACACAGGGGCTCCCTGGAGGACAGATGTGGGGGATTCTTCTGTTTGGAGCACTGAGCACCACAGGAAAGGTAATCTGTCCCCGGGTTCCTGAGCTGCAGTTGAGGTGCTGGTCCCCAGGGCAGTGTGAGGAGCTGAACAGTGACCCTCAGGAATACGTAGAGTCTTATCGCTGGGACCCGAGAGTGTTCTCTCAGATGACAGGACTGTGCAGACCTGACTGAGGGTGCTGATGGGAGATGACCCTGAATTTTCTGGGTGGGACCAAACTGTCATCCCAAGTGTCCTTATCAGAGGGAAACAGAGGAAATTGGACTAAAAAAAGGTATTGTGATGGTGGAGACAAGATGATTGAGTGGGTTTCTACACCCACCTGAGTAAATGACGACCAACAGGGTAACGTGTTGTAGGAGGGCAGAGATCCGTGGGTGGATGTCCTGGGGGCTGATCCCCCATGGGGCCAGGTGGGCCTGTGGGAAGGAAGGGCCATGTGGTGCCCCGTGGGCATGTGGGGGGCAAAGAGCCTGAGCTCAGCACACAGGGACCTGGACTGTGCTGGGGTTTCTGTGGGAAATGTTTCCCAAACCCTGGGAACACGAGAGTCCTCAGGTTGGTCCCTGTTGAGAAATAAAAACAGGACACACAGGAATTCAGTCAAGGAAAGAACCAAATTCACAGCTTGTATGTCATTGTAAACAGTGTTTCCCCTTGTGTGTTAGGTTCTGAGAATAGGAGAAATTACAGTCACAAAGGTGGTTCAAGACTTGTCCCTGGGGGAGGCTAAGAAATTTTACAGGAAACCTCTGTTTCCAAAGGGAGTCCCTTCTCCACCCAGGTCCCCACCTGCTACTGGGGCTGGTCCCTGTGCTCAGTGTGTCCTGAGCGCCCCCTGCAGCCCAACCCCTGTCCCGTGTAGGGAGGTTTGTGTCTGGGCTCACACTGACTTCCCTTCACTGTGTCCCTCGCACAGTAATACACGGCCGTGTCCTCGGCTCTCAGGCTGCTCATTTGCAGAAACAGAGTGTTCTTGGAGTTGTCTCTGGAGATGGTGAATCGGCCCTTCACGGAGTCGGCATAGTATATGTAACTACTACCATCACCACTAATGGCTGAGACCCACTCCAGCCCCTTCCCTGGAGCCTGGCGGACCCAGTGCATCCAGTAGCTACTGAAGGTGAATCCAGAGGCTGCACAGGAGAGTCGCAGAGACCTCCCAGGCTGCACCAAACCTCCCCCAGACTCCACCAGCTGCACCTCACACTGGACACCTGCAAACACAGAGAGGTCCTGGTCAGAAACTGTCACACATCCACTGTTTCTCACTCATGTTCTGTCACATACTCAGAGTCTCCTGTTCTCCATAAATTACCTCTTAAAATAGCCACAAGGAAAACCCAGCTGAGCCCAAACTCCATGGTGTGTCGTCTGTGTTCAGTCCTGATCACGGAATGGGGACACCTGGGGATCCCGGGGCTGGGGCTCCTGTCCCTGAGCTGCAGGGTCAGGGCTGGGCTGGTTTTCATCAGCAGAGGGGCCCCTATTTGCATGTCCTCCTTCTATATAGGGAGCTCTGGGGTTGGACACCTACAGAGAGGGCAGGGCCTCAGTGCAGGTGTGAGAGTCCTGGTTAGTTTGGTGGCCACGTGAGAGTTCAGGAAACATGACTCCTTATATGTCATGGTTTGGAGTGAAAGCTCACACCCATTACCTCATTTTATTTCCATGTGAGCACCCAGAACAAGTGACCGAGCTATCGACCCCACCTCCATTTTGCAGAGCTAAAGCTACACACGGCAGCCCAGAGGAGCCATGTTTTGTGTCCAAGAGCACATATCAGCTAAGAAGGAGCCTGGTACTCTCCCCATGGACACCACTGCACCCTCCCCTGACTCCAGGGCCAGGATGAACCTGCCAGGTGAGGTTCCAGAACCTCTTTCCAGTAATGAGAACATGTGTGATTCTCTGCATGATAGTATTTACCTAAGAATATAGAAAATCGAGGCTCATGCATATGTATTTTCATATATGTGACATTTTGCATATTATTATCTATCTGTCTGTAACTCTTTTCTTACCAATTGTCCATTTGTTTCTTTGTAGTAGCTTTAATGATGCATATTTGACCATAGTAAACGGCACAGGTCAGAAGGATGCAGGTATCACCTGAATCTGTAGTCATTGTATTGGCCCTGGAAGCAAGGAGCACACGCAGGAACAGCCCCACCCACTGTCCTAACTGGGTCCTTCCCAGTGTCCCACCTGAGGACCTGTGGTGATGCCCAGCTCAGGTGGGCTCCTCGTGCAGGTGACAAACAGGCACGGAAAGAGCCACCATGGCAGGGACAAGGGACCCTGTCCGTAGTGTGGGGCTGTGATTTCACAGAGGGGGAAGGAACATGTTTAACTCTTAGTGAACCCATCAGGGTATATTTGAACTGATCAATTTCAATGATATGTGGACAAGTGCTGATGTCAATATATAATTGAGTGAATGATAACTAAATCTACTGGTGTGTGAACATAGCAGTGGGAAGATGTAAATATATGTTGTCAGCCCCACTGTATTTAGTGAAATGTCCACATGCATGTTCCTCAAAGCAGAGAATTAAAATAACCCCTTAATTCTCCTCTGACACCCACTGACTGACAATGCACCAGAATCTCCAAACTGTCAATATTATAAATTAGATCCCTAATTGTATTTCAAAGTCGATGTCACTTCTGTACAACTGCATGGCTGTCCTCAGCGGCCTGCAGTGTCCCCACAACACATCACTGCCCTGTGGAAACTGTCCCCTGGGTCTCCACCAGGAGGTTGAGGAGGAGGAGACCTGACCCCACCTCCCATCACCTTCAGGCTCAGACCTCAGTGTTCGCCTTCCTGAGCCTGCAGATGCTGAGCTCTGTGGGCAGCTGGACAGCAGTGAGGGGCGGGTGTTCTCTTATTCCTGGGGAGATGGCCATGCGGTCTGGGGACACACATCCCCCTGGGAAGGGACCCCCAGCTGCACGTCCTGTAAGATGCTCTCGGTGTACACGCTGATGGCAGTGCCCTCGCCCTGGGTACCTCTGGCTTCCTGACCTTCAAGGAGACCACGGAGACAGAAGTGTTGAGAAGATGCTTTTCTATCCTGGGACTTGGAGATCCTGAGACGTTAGAGAGAGAGTCATGGAGCTGATGGAGGGGCTCTGGGTTTCAGGAACCACAAGGGCCATTTACACAGGGTCTCTCTGCCTAGACAGTAATTGAAAAGCTTCAAGAAGTTAATATAATAGAATAATTGGTGAAATAAATTAGTAAATTAAGAATACCCGACATCAGGAGGAATGTTGTTATTCAAGGTTGTTTATTTATCTACGAAACATAAATCACTGCACTACCAAACTCATGGTTATTACCATGATTATAGGAGGTGAAGGCACCGCAGTGCCTGGCCCTGGGCGAGTGTGCACATTATCATGACGACAGTGTGTTCTAAATAGGAAAGTTCAGGATGGGGAGTACAGTCAACTGCATTGTAAAGACTCTAGGTAGTGTCAGATGTGTAGTCGCCTATTGGGGTTCCCTTCATAACTGATATAAATATCTAACCACTACGCTGCACACCTGCACCTAATATAAAATAATATTGAATATCAGCTATATTTTGAAAAGTAGTAACACGGATGTGTAGAGCAGCATGGGGAATACAGTCAGTAATGTTCTAATACAAAAAGGAGGACAGTTCTGTGTTTCCAGAACATTTGGAAAACATTTTCTACTGCGTGACTTCAGGAGGAGGTTGACAGAGCATGGAGACCAAACCCTGACAGGAGACCATCCCTTAGCCAACTCCCCCAGGGGACAGGAACGGAGTGCATCGTGCACGCCCCCTGGTGGTGTGTGTGCACCTTTGGTCCAAAGTCCTTGCAGACAGACTGTATCCCATCCCCTTTATCCAGCATCAGTGTGGGACCCTTCCAGGAAAAGTGCTATATACCGTCCTGTTCACAGGATGCTTCATCCTAGTAGATTTTCATTACCTGGCCACTCCATTTTATCTCTTTGGAATCAAATGTCCCTAATTCTTATTCTATGCCTGCCCTGCAGCTCTATTTTGATGACAACTTGTCTTCTAGTGTCACAGGTGTACAGATGGAGAGGATTTTTCACCAGGATGTACCCACCCAAATTGTCACCCATACCTGATTCAGAGATGAGATGTGGGACTTTTGAGATGATGTCACTCAGATACATTTTAGAGTTGATTTCATGTTTTAATGACTTAGCATTTGGGGGGATATTGGTATGTGCTAAATTTAATTGAATGTGGGCTGGATGTGATTCTATGGAGGGCTGAGGGTGGGCTGAGATGGTCTGAGTTATGCTTGGACCATGTGAGTGTCATATGGGAAAAGGGACTTTGCAATACTTGGTCCATTTAAGCACCAGAAGAAGAAATTATATTCCTGTGTTATCTGAGTGGTTCCTAATTCAAGCACAGGTGTTCACGGCAGAGGCAGGCAGAGGGAGACTAGACTCCACGAGGAGAAGGCAATGTGACCACGGATGGAAGGTGACTTCCTCCTGGCTGTGATGTTGGAGGAAGAGGACGTGGGAGCAAGGAATGCACCTCTAGAAGCTGAAAAATGTAAAATAAACCGTCCTTACCAGGTCTATTCCATCTGGACTGCTATAAAAGTTCCATATCCTGGGCACATTATAAACAGCAAACATTCATTTCCCACAGTTCTGAAGGTGGCAACCCAAAATCCAGGCCCAGCATGGTCACACTGGTGAGCCCTCTGCCTGGCTCACATCTGGTGGCTTCCTGCTGTGTCTCACAGGGTGGGAGGGACATGCAAGCTCTCTGGGGCTCATTAGAGTGGCTCTGATCCCCTTCCTGAGGGAGGTGCCCTGATGCCTAAGCCCCTCCCAAGACCCCACCTGCTAACACAGCCCTCCTTCAGGGTTAGGGTTTCAACACACAAATGTGGGGGGACACACATTTTCAGAGCAGAGCCATTGGTCAAACCCTCTGGGGCATGTGTGGTCTGGCCAACACCTTTCTATCATCCAGTGAACCTGACCACATGCTCTGAGCCCCAGACTGTGAGGGGATCAATGTGAGGAGATCTGAGCCCCAAGTGTGTGGTGATTTGATGCAGTTGTCCTGGGAAAGTTACACAGGCTGGACGTGAGTCTCACGTCATCAAGGTTCTCCCATGCTGTTCCCTCTTGTGTGAGGACCCCCAGTGCTCCCCAGGGACAGGGACACCCACAGACTGGGGTCTGAAGGGAGGCGCCTATTCAGGAACTCACCCCTGCAGGAGAGGCTGAGGGGACAATGAGCTGACGTAGACTATGCTTAAACCTGGTACACTTGTCACCCATGATGTTGCCACCACGTGTCATGATGGTCCTCCCAGATACCATGCGTGGTGCTTGTCCACAGTGAGAAGCAAAAATTCACCATTCACTTCTGTACTCACTGTTTCCCAAGAACGGTTCCATTTTTCAGAAATAATGGAAATTGAGAGAACTTCCAAGGGAGAATCTAGAATCCATCTCCAGATCTGCTTCCAACCAAGCGATCACAGGTGATGCCTGAACTAACCTCCCTCATTCAAGGACACAGAGGCTCCAGATATATTCTCTGCCAGGACAATGACACATGACCGGTTCTTTGAGGAAAGACTTTTCCTGATTCTTCCTGAAGATATTTGGACACTGGAAACCTTTCCCTGAGACTGATGTGCCCATGAGAGCGTGATTCCTCATCTCAGGGTCCTGACTCTGTGTGAAGAAGTCAGGAGACGCTTCGTTCCTGTGATCTCCTCAGCCCCGCAAAACTATCCTCTCCCTCAGAGTTTCTGACACTCTCAGGATGTGGCTTATCTCACTGTGTCCCTTGCACAGTAATACAGAGACATGTCCTCAGGTCTCAGACTGCTCAGCTCCATGTAGGCTGTGCTGGTGGACTTGTCTGTGGTCATGGTGACTCTGCCCTGGAACTTTTGTGTGTAGCATGTACCACCACTGCTAGGGTTGATTAATCCCATCCACTCAAGCCCTTGTCCCGGGGCCTGTCACACCCAGTGCATCCAGTAGCTGGTGAAGGTGTATCCGGATGCCTTGCAGGACACCTTCACTGAGGCCCCAGGCTTCCTCACCTCATCCTCAGGCTGCACCAGCTGGACCTCAGAGTGGACACCTGTGGGGAGGAGACAGGAGTGGGTGGAACCCCCGTGACTGACCCAGGTCCCCTCATCAGCCCAGGGACGGGGGAGCCCCTTACCTGTAGCCACTGCCACCAGGAAGAGGACTCTCCCGTTCCAGTCCATAGTGAGGGCTGTGTTCTCAGGACGTCTGTGGGGGAGCGTGTGGCTGTGGGGCGATGCTCTCAGGGCGCAGACATGTCCACATTTAACCCCGCCCACCTCAGCTCATTTGCATATTCATGAGCAGTGGATTCCTAGCTGAAGACTTGGCGCACCTGAGAGAAGAGGTATGACACAGGGACCATGCTCAGTGGGCGTCTGAGGTCCACATCCTAATCCTTGTTGGAGGATATGTGTCCCTGCCAGGACCCTGAATCTGTGCAGACAGAGCTCCTCCCACTGAGGAAGAAGCCCCCCAGGACGTGATCCTCACTTAGAACCCCACTTTGAATGACATGGAGACCCTGAGCCTGTCTTGGGTTTTGACCTGAATGTCTGAATCCTTGGGTCAGTGTGTGTCCCAAATTTAGAAAATTTCAAATTGGTAAAATCATCCTTGTCTTCAAGATTGTTGCTATTAAGACATCTTGAAGTCCTAGAAAACCAATTCAAATTTGATTTTATTGCCCATTATGTTTGGGAAATTCTCCCAGTGGAATAGGATATTTACAGACACTTCAGCAGTCCTTGCCCAAATCTTGTTTTAGATGATTTATATAAACAGGAAGGAAGCCCCAGGTCCTCAGAGGAAGCCCCTCCCCTTCCCCTCCCCACCTGCTCCTGGGGCTGCAGCCCCTGCTGGGTGGGTCCTGAGCGCCCCCTGCAGCCCAGCCTGCGCCCTGCAGGGAGGGTCCTGTCTGGGCTCACAGGGCGTGGCCTCTAGCGTCTCTAGTCCAGTGTTAAATGTCTGTGCCCTGACCTCACAGTGCTCCCTCAGGGACACCATAAACTTTGACCTCCTCTCTGGTCAAACAGTGAACTGACCTAACTGAACACTGCAGGTTGTCCCCCTGAGGCCTTTATGGAATCACCAGGGAGCCCCTTCCCTGGGGTGCCAGATGCACTGACACAGCTGACACTGTCATGAGCCCAGAAGGTCTCAGGGACTTTGGAGGGGACTCTTATCTCTTTTAGGTTCCTCTGGTTGCAGGTGACACCTGAGAATCCCTGCATTGTTGTATAGCCCTCTCTACCTCTGCTAGTCAATAATTCAGACCCATGCAGAGTGCTTGATTTTAGCAGGAATGGACTACAAATTGTCTGTTTTCTCTGTACCCAGTTCATGGGCCATCCCTCCCTGGGACCCTAGGTCTGAGTGTGTGACTTTTCTTGTAAATGGAACCCCAGGAAACATGACACCCACAGACTTGGGAAGAACGCACACCCTGGCTCTGCTTTTTCTCACGGCCCATGCGACCCGTGCAGATGACCCATGAGATGGGCTAATCTTGTCCCACAGGTTGTCAGAATCGAGGCCCAATCACACTATTGCCCACTCACGGCACCTGCAGTGGGGTCCCTTGGAGAACCCATGTCTGTGGGAGGGGAGGCACCTGAGAAGTTAGGGGAGGAGGAGGCAGCACCAGGTCAGCTGACTCAGGTGAGGCTGCTCGTGTCTCTTGGAGATATTATGTATTCTTAGGATTAAACTCCTGTGAGGTAGTTTGGGTCTGGGCTGTGACCTCCCCAAGGACTCTCCGGGGTCAGCTCACTTCACTGTGACCCCTCCCTTCCTGCCTGCAGCATCCAGTCTATTCCTTGTACAAAGAGGAAGAGAGAGACCTCCCTCCATCACGTAAGGCATGTGAGGGCTCAGCAAGAACGTGGTCAACTGCAGCCAGGTCAGACCTTTCACCAGGACGAGACTCAGCTGGCACCTTGATTCTCAACTTTCCAACCTCCTCAGCTCTGAGCATCAATTACTGTTGTTAAAACTGCATCACCTGTGGTACTTTTTCTGACAACTGAGTGAGAAAGCTTGATAGTTTTGATTAAATAAAAATATTTGATAATTTCATAGAAAAGAATACATGTGTGAGTGATTGATAAATATGAAATAAAATGAGATGAAGGGCCGGCTGAATGGCGCATTGGTTAAGAGCTGGCTTGGGACACCAGCTCTGACCATCAGGGCCCCAGTTCAGATCCCACATGAGGGCCACTGACACTGCCCTCTACAGCTAACATGGTGACCAATAGCTCGACCTGGAGCTGGGCTGCCGTGAGTGGCCAGCAGCTGGCGTCAGCTGCCAAGAGCCACCATGAGCAGCCGTCCAAAGCCCAGTGACCAACTGCCTCACCCGGGAAGAGCGCAATGATAATACCAGCATGGGCCAGTGAAGGGATGTCCTCCACAACTAGACTGAAGAATAAAAGGACAGCAACTTGTCTGTTTCCCTTCCCCGATTCCCCAATAAACTCTTAAAAAAAAAGAATTAGGACAGTAAATGACAGAAGGTGAAGGAGGGGAGGGGCTTTTAAATCCACCCAAGTAAAAGAGGAATGAGAGATTATTGTGTTATAGGGAGAATAGAGACCACTTGGGGTGGAGGTGCTGTGGGCTGAAAATTATCCTGATGGGCCAGGTGAGCCTGAGGGTAGGAAGGGCCCATGTGAGGACTCCGTGGGCATGTGGGGGGGCAGAGAGCCTGAGCTCAGCACACAGGGGCCTGGACTGGGCTGGGGTCTCTCTCTGTGGAAAATGTTTCCCAACCACTGGGAACACGAGAGCCCTCAGGGTGGTCTCTCTCTCTCAAGAAATAACAACAGGATACACAGGAATTATGTGAAGGAAAGGTCCCCATCACTGTTGAATGTCATTGTAAACAGTGTTTCCCCCTGTGTGTGGCTGCTGAGAATAAAGGACATTAGAGTCACAAAGATGGTTCAAGACTTGTCCCTGGGGACGGCTAAGAAATTTTACAGGAAATCTCTGTTCCCAAAGGAAGTCCCTTCCCCACCCAGGTCCCCACCTGCTACTGGCCTCTTCCCTGTGCTCAATGTGTCCCGACCACCCCCTGGTGTCCCGAGCGCCCTGCTGCAGCCCAGCCCCCCGTCCCCTGCAGGGAGGTTTGTGTCTGGGCTCACACTGACTTCCCCTCACTGTGTGTCTCGCACAGTAATACACGGCCGTGTCCTCGGCTCTCAGGCTGGTCATTTGCAGATAGAGCATGTTCTTGGCGTTGTCTCTGGAGATGGTGAATTGGCCCTTCACCGAGTCGGCATAGTATATATTCTTACCAGTTTGACTGATGAATGAGACCCACTCCAGCCCCTTCCCTGGAGCCTGGCGGACCCAGTTCATGCTGTAGTCACTGAAGGTGAATCCAGAGGCGGCACAGGAGAGTCGCAGAGACCCCCCAGGCTGCACCAAGCCTCCCCCAGACTCCACCAGCTGCACCTCACACTGGACACCTGCAAACACAGAGAGGTCCTGGTCAGAAACTGTCACACATCCACTGTTTCTCTCACTCATGTTCTCTCACATACTCAGAGTCTCCTGTTCTCCATAAATCACCTCTTAAAATAGTCACAAGGAAAACCCAGCTGAGCCCAAACTCCATGGTGTGTCGTCTGTGTTCAGTCCTGGTCACAGAATGGGGACACCTGAGGATCCCGGGGCTGGGGCTCCTGTCCCTGAGCTGCAGGGTCAGGGCTGGGCTGGTTTTCATCAGCAGAGGGGCCCCTATTTGCATGTCCTCCTTCTATATAGGGAGCTCTGGGGTTGGACACCTACAGAGAGGGCAGGACCTCAGTGCAGGTGTGAGTGTCCTGGAGCACTTTCTGAATTAGATCATTAAGGAAAATATGATTTTTATTATTTTAAGGGCTCTTGTAAACACTTAGTACCCATCATGTTATTCCAGGTTCACATATGCACACAAGTCATGTGACATAGATATCAGTTTTATGTTCATTTCACAGATGAACAAGTTGAAACAGAACCACAGAGTTGAGAGCACAAGTCAGGTTAGAGTGATCCCATTTCTCTGTCCCTGTGTTACTCCCCTCTGAACCCCAGGCACATATTTGCTCCTCGGGAAGGGAACTGCAGACCCGGACAGGAACCCCTCACTCCCAGCCGCCCTCTGCTCCTGCCTGTGGGTCGGAGCCCCGTGGACAGAGGGTCCTGAGCGACCCCTGCAGGTCAGTTCCTTCCCTCCCTCCAGGATTCGTGCTTTGTCCACATCCCTGTATCCCTGGGCTATGGGGTCTTCAGGGACAAGAGCTCTGTGCTCTGCTCCTTGTCACTGTCCCTCTACTCTAATATTTATAGTTCTAGTAACTCTCACGCCAGGTGAGCTCTGCCAGCCAACAGCCCTCATCATGTCCATCATCTGTCCTCCCCCTTCAGTAAGTCCTTCCATTCCTGGAGGGCATAGGGCCTGTATCCCTGTGTGTTTGGCAGAGGCTCCTATAAACTCGTGGTCCTAGTGTGTGGATTCTATTCTTCTCTCTCACGATTCTTTTCTATTTGACAAAGTAGACAAACCCATATTTATCCAGGACACAATGGGGTGGATTAGAGAAGGCTGGTTTCTATTAAAATAGATCTAACAGGTGGAACGGTCTACACTATACACTGAATTAACCCTGTTCACCTTGGGTTAGGGGTGCTGGGCCGTCCCCATGAGGAGTGCACACAGAAATGTTCTTCAGAGTAACGAGGAGGCCACTTCTGTGGGAAGCTCACATGCTCCTTAGTCTGTCCGACCAGGAAACCCAGAGAAATTCAAACACTCAGGGCTCCCTAAATGGAAAATCTCATCACCTCTGATCACACCCACCTGCATCGACCCCTCTGAATGGACGTCTTCCTGAGTATGGTGAGGCTTCACAACAAAGACCTTTACGTGGGTCTAAATCTAACATCACCAGCAGACCAAAGGTGCCATGTCAGGGCCTTGTGCAAAAACAATGTAAGGGAACCTTGTTAAAGTTTAATAGTTTAGTGACCCTGAGAGCACAGCATTCTCTCAGTAATGGACAAATCCTGTTTTTCAGTTCTCCAGTTAAATGGCTTTAAAATGACTCTTACGTCTTTAGCCTCATTCTGCATCAAGAAAGTGTGTCTTCTTCTTGTGATACCAAGTTGGGCCCCTCCCACCTGCTGTTCTGGTGCAGGACTGTGGAAGTGACTGGTTCCCTGGTGCTCACGCTGAGCCACACAGGCTGCATGATGAAGACAGATTATCATGATTCTATTACTTCCATCAAAACTTTGAGAAAAAAGACTGAAATTTAAGGTAAGTGTTTTTCCCTAGGATCAGAATAGGATATGAGAACAGACAATGAGAACATCTTGCAGAAATTACAACTATTAATTGCAAAAACTAAAGGACAGCTCCTTGAATCAATATGGGCATTATTTTTAGTTACATCTTTAGTTGACAATCAAACTGGTTGATACTTTCAGGATATATGAGTGAGTATGATCAAAAGGCAGGAAATCACTTTTAAATGTTTGTAACACTCAATTGTTTGAGTAATACTCAATCATTCTGTATTCTTTATACAACTTCTGAAGTACACTCAGCTCATATACTTTTGCTGTATTTTAAGATTTTCTCCTAAACATACTTCCACTTGTGATCCTGTCTCAGTCCTGCTTCATGTCTTTGCCATAACTTTACCTCACAAATGTCTGACTCTATGTACGGGCTGGTCACTGAGACAGGAGGAGTGACCAGCACACCTATTCTGTTTCCTGTCTTTTTGTCACCACAGCTACCCATGAGGTGTCCACCACGGGGCTCTGTACAGGAGGTTCCATCAGGATGTCCTGTATCATTAGGCTTCTGCATTGTTAGAGTCACAGGGGTCAGAAGCCAACTGTTTTGCCACCTGGCACAGCCCTGTCCTGCAATAGTGCTTGTGTCACAGCGAGTCATGTTTCCAGGACAAGTGGGCTCCACAGGGCCTCCTTCAGACCCAATGAGTGTAACCTGCCCTGGGGTGTCCACAGATGGATAGACATGTTAGATGAATTAGGAGATGACGTGGGGGTGTTTTTGGAAAGTGGGCCCTTTTCGGCACGAAATCCAGGTCCTTGGCAACTGGAGCAAGGAATTCAATGAGATGCCAGAGTGAAGCACTGAAAAAGTAGTTTATTCAAAAAGATGATACGTTTTAAAGAGTAGAAGTGGACCCGAGCAGTAGAGAATGGCTCAAGGGCCCATTATTAGAAGAGAAATTACATTCCAAAGAGTTTGGAGCAGGCCACACACAAAGGCGAGGCTCAAAGGGCTTGAAAAGGAAGAAGCGGTCAAGAGAGCAGGGCGTCCAAAAAGGGAGAAAGGCTGGAACATTCCAGGACTTGGGGTTTTTATCCCTTCTCTAGAATGGGCTGTTCCCCTAAGGGCGTGGGACCACTTGATTAGCACCTGTGATTGACAAGAGGTACTGTGCAGGTGCGAGTGACTGGTCTGATCTAGTTGGGTATTTTGCACCCATTTGTTTTAGGGGTAGATAGTTACAATGAAAAGAAGTTTTGGGTGGAGAGGGAAGGTCACCGGGTGGTCAATTCTGTGGGACATGCAGGAATGCAGAGACCCTTACCTGCCTCTAACTGCCAACCTAGCCTTCCCCTTGAGAGACGCGATCCCCATGAAATCTCTATGGGAAGCTGAGGGACAGGAGGTCTCTTCTGCTGTATCTGCTTCCTGCTGGGCAGGAGTGTAGAGCTGTCCCTGCCTATTGGGGGATTCACGGAACTCGCACCCTAGCTGATCTCAGATGAGAGGAAGGGGTCTCGTGCTCCACCTGGAAGACCATGTTGGCTTCTTTGGTTGTGACCAGCAATCTTGTTGGGATATCCTCTGTATCCCCAAAGTCCCTGAATGAGGAAAATATATTTTAATTAATAAACCTGTTAGCTCTCATGAAGCCTGTTGCAATTCAGCCTGTTACTCAGGTGGCGTCAGTTGTCTGGGCCCAGAATAGGTTTGGCATTCAGCTTACTGGCCTTGGAGACATTAGGAAGTCACAGACTTTCAAATACTTATCTGAAGCAGGGACTTCTATTGTTTAGGATTCAGAAACTGATTTACAAAGCAATCAAGAAGCAGGCAGATAGAATTTTAGGATTCAGGCTAGGAGCAATCTTTAGTCTAGGATTTACAAACTGGTTAGAAAAGTAATCTAAGCCAGGGGCTAAGAAACTAAGAAACTAGGAAGGAGACTTAACATTTCAATAGAAACAAACCTTATAATTCTTTGTGGGGGGTCTCTCTTGGCTGGTAACAGGGGCACATGAGTGCCCACGTATTTACAGGGCCTCCCTTCTGTGATGGGTACTATGCGGGAGCTGGGAGTGTGAGCAGAGCTCCAGCCCCATGGAGCTCAGGGTCTAGGATGGAATTAGTGAGAATTAGGACAGTAGGTGACAGAAGGTGATGTTGGGGTGGTTTGAAATATACACTTCAGTAAATGAGGACCGAGAGGTTGTGATGCTGTAGGGAGGACGGGGACCATGGACGTGGAGGTCCTGGGGGCTGAACATAATCCCGTGGGGCCACGTGTGCCTGTGGGAAGAAAGGGCCATGTGGGGACCCCGTGGGCATGTGGGGGGCAGAGAGCCTGAGCTCAGTATACAGGGGCTGGGACTGTGCTGGGGTCTCTCTGTGGGAAATGTTTCCCAACCACAGAGAGATGAGAACCCTCAGGATGGTCTCTCTGTGACAAAACAAGTAGACACAGCAATTTGGTGAAGGAAAGGTCCCCAGTCACTGGTGATACATCATTGTAAACACTGTTTCCACTTTGTTGGCTTCTGAGAATAGGAGACATTAGGGTCACAAGTGATTCAAGACTTGGTCCTGAGAACAGCAGAGAAATTTCACAGGAAACCTCTGTTCCCAAAGGGAGTCCCTTCCCCACTCAGGACCACACCTGCTCCTGGGGCTGGTCCCTGTGCTCAGTGTGTCCCGAGCGCCCCCTCGTGTCCTGAGCGCCCCCTGCAGCCCAGCCACCCTGTCCCCTCAGGGAGGTTTGTGTCTGGGCTCACACTGACTTCCCCACACTGTGTTCCTCGCACAGTAATACACGGCCGTGTCCTCGGAGGTCACAGAGCTCAGCTGCAGGGAGAACTGGTTTTTGGACGTGTCTCTGGAGATGGAGGTGCGGCTCTTGAGGGACGGGCTGTAGTCAGTGCTCCCACTATAACTAGTGTCCCGATCCACTCCAGCCCCTTCTCCGGGGTCTGCCGGATCCAGCCCCAGCAGTAACCACTGGTGATGGAGTAACCAGAGACAGTGCAGGTGAGGGACAGGGTCTGCGACGGCTTCACCAGTCCTGGGCCCGACTCCTGCAGCTGCACCTGGGACAGGACACCTGGGGACAAGGAGAATCAGCCTGTCACTCACGTGCAGTCACAGCCATCCCATAGGCCCGTGTCTGACATCTGAGAC